TCATATTCTTTGCTTTATTTCTTTTAAAACAAAAAGACCAAAAACGTTTCCAAAAACAAAACAAATCTATTTTACATTTCAGTTCATATACAATATTTCAATATGGTTGTAATAGATAATTAGGACTTGAATTTCTTGCAACCCCCATTTGTAAATTTGTACACTCCATCCCCAAGTAATTGTAATAGCGTAGGATATTTATATTTCTGCAATTTATCACTTTCATATAAATGCTAGTAATTAGGGTTTGTATGGAAAGATAAAATCAATACTTAGAAAGCCATAACCTAAGATAACTCAAGCATGAAATATAAACACTTGCACACTTGCATCTCTAGGGTTAACTCCACTTGTTGCCTTATAAAAATGGTCATGTTATGCATGTGAGGCGTCTTAGCAAAAACAATTAAAAATACAAGATCATAGTCCATCGATGACGCTTCTAATGTTGCCTTACAAATGATCTTAGTCCCTCAAGAAAAATGCTAAGATATATCATAACATTGCCATAATGACTATACGATGACCCACGTCCGTCCCTTTACATCCAAAGATAAGGCTTCTTACCAATCAATGGTAAGATAGTAACATCCAAAGGAGGAGGAAAAGAACAAAGACTTTTGAGTAGGTAGAAACGTTCTTAGTTGCTTGCTCATCTTCAAAACAAACATATTTTTAAACAAACCAAACACTTACAAAATATGAAATATTTTCAAAAAGTCCAACACTTTGTACGCATTCTTATAGAGACGAGAATAATTACAAAGTTTGCCTAAACAAAGACGCTTTTCAAAAATACTTTCAAAAACCCACCACAAAGCACACTTTCAAACAAAAGCAATGATCTAGAAAGAAACTAAGAGCCCATAGATAACTATGGATGAAAAGGGTGCTAATACCTTCCCTTTTAATAATCTATCCCCGGAACTCAAGAAAATAATCTCAAAGGTCTTTCCTCTTCTTTTCACTCTTTCCTTTATTGGATAAAATAAAAGTCGGTGGCGACTCTTGCTATCCGAAACAATTGTGATAAAATGCAAAACACCCAAGTCAGTTCTCCCACCGTATTACAGATCCCTACGAGGGATACTTGCCACCCTTTGAGGCGAAAAAATATGTTGGAACCTTAAGAGGGATCCTTTCTGTCCTTTAAGGTGAAAAAACACGTAGGAACTTCATAAAAGAATACTTGCCTTTAGCTGAAGAGACTAGGCATGTTTGGTTGTTAACAAAGAGCTCCAACCATCACGTTTGGAGCAATCAAAGTTACGAAACAAACACATAAGAATCAATACTTTCATGGAGGGAGCTGAGAATAAATTATAGTAAAAAAGACTTGTACATAGCAGGAAAACATCCATAAGAAATGAAAGAACTAAGCGATTACAAAATCTTCTAGAAAAAGACTTATCATAAAAAAAGGGAATCAAAGTGCAAGTGAATTTTCAGAAGGCTTACTCATCATCCACTAGATGACCATCCTGAACCACCTTGAAGTAGTCCATCTAACTCAATTTCTAGTTTGGATAAAAGAAATCTACATGTTCCTTCACCTTATTGAAATACTGAGCAGAGGTAGTCACAACTTTGTCCTTGAGCGATGACGCCTCCTTCTCCCGATATTCTATGGAACTAAGAACTTCCTCGAGTGATCCCTTTAAGTGTTTCCCCTCCTTAGCACGGTAAAAAGAAAGGAATACCTCTACAATATGGAGGAAGCCCAAATGAAAACAAATGATCTCAAAGGCTCTTAATGATGCTCCATACATTGGGTGTGATTTGGGAGGGGCGACATTAGTGGTCGCCAAAAAGCCTGCTTCGGAAGGTGTAAAAGGTCCTAATACTCACAATTCATGAATGCAATGGAGATACAAGTAAAAATAAGGAAAATATAAGTTACCCAAGGTAGCCATGTTGGATCTTTCCCTTTCTGAACAAGGATTCAAAATTAAATATTCTTTGTTTCCTATATTTGGAAACCTAATATCCTGACAAAACCTCGCGATCATATTCAAGTGAAAATATAAATACATAATATCTCGAACATAGACACTTTTGACATTCTTCCTAGCCATCATTTTTTTATGAATGGTTTAAATAGTTGTAATACTTGGAGCCCTAAAAAATATTAATGGACTACGTAGATATTTTTTCCTTCTATCCAGGCCTAAAAGATAAGGGGAAGTGAAATCTAGAAAACTTATCGAATTAAACAAGGGATATTTTAAGACTAAAGGGGGAAAAAGGTATTTATAAAAATAAAATTGAAACCATTAATAATGGATATCCAAGAGAATAAGCAACATACTTGTTTGATAACATTACTATTGCAAGAAGCCGGAATGGTTTCACACGTCAAGAACACGTATGAGAAAAGGAATTATATTGGTTTCCCAAGAAAGATCACCATGAGCAATATTAAGTTACACACATGTTTTTCACACCAAATAATCAAGTTTCCGTAACCGACTAGCATTTGGAAGTCTCCAAAAATAACTTAAATGATGTTTGACATCCCTTTGACTGACACACGAGTTACACAGGAGACATCTGGCATAAGTTTGATGAGTCGTCCTTATCTGAGGGGCTCACCCTAAATTAAGGGACATGTCCTCAATTGAGGGATTCCCTTAATTGAAAGACTCACCCTTAACTAAGGGACTCACCTTTAGTTGTGGAACTCTCCTCCAAACAGCGGGACCCAATCAAAGGAAATGAAGAGCTTAAAACACTTCTAATTGTTACAAGGCCCTCTTGCTTAAGCTATATAGTTATATATTTGAAAAGGCCCATAATCCTAGACTGCACGCAGTAGGTGGCTAGCTGTGAGAGGAAACATGATAGCACAAGAAGTCATGGTCATAATCCCCTAAAATGCAGGCATTCAACAACTCCCCTAATCAAAGTGGAGTGGTTACTACTTCCCAGGGGTCCCCCAAATCCATCCCCAAGAGGAATCTATTAATACCTTAAGTCTAAGGTTGAGACAAATAATTTGAAATACACACGAAACACCTCAAAAGATACAAATATTATCACCTCACATGAGCTTACTTTCTCCCCACTAAAATCACCTCAAAATAAGTTTCTCATCACCATGAGCTTTTCCTAAAACCATCAAAAATCCTTAAAGCATTTGACCATTCCTACCAATGTAGGGGTGCCATGCATCTATACCTTTTTAGCTAGTACACCATAGAAGTTTGGAATACTCATTTAGGATCTAGTAAAACCATATATTTCTTTACAAATTTCAAGGTTTTCTTAATATCTCTACTTAAATGTCGAAGAACAAGTTAAATCAGCAAATTTATTCCCAAAAAATTCAGCCTTTCCTCGATTATATAAGGATCATCGGCCTAAAGGAAAAAGGAGATTAGCCAAAGTTAACACGGAAATAAGGCTTATGCCAAGTCCATATAACACACAAGACTACTGGTAAAGGATCCAAGGATGAAATTGGTCTAAGCCTCACATGTCCATAGTTAATAGCTCCGACCAATTCCTTTTTTTTCTTCAAAGAGGAAACCAACAATAAATATATGGTAGCACTAATTAGCTTCTTAGGTTAGATAGTGGGAAATGAGGTGATTATTAAAAGTACAATAATGATTCCATATTGTATAATTGTTCAATAGAGACAATGATGACATCATGGCTAAACTCAATAAATGGTTAATCACGTAAACCATTATTTATCAAATATTCAATAAATAATGGCAAGATGTTCAACATAATCTTTGTGCATGAGGGTGTCTTCCTAAATGTTATGTAACTTAAACGTTAAAGAAATTGGGAAAAAAACATGGATGACTTATTCTAACCAACGTGAAGATGGTTGGCTTGCCAATTTTGGCATCAAATGCCTTTGAGTACTAATAAGATATGCAACAGTGTGTCTAAAAGATATAAGGTAAAACTTATTTGTATTATATGGAAAGCCTTCATACTCTATTTGTTTAACATTTATTGGAACCTAATCAGTGAATGTGTGTCCTCTATACTTCATCTAGAGGCTCATATTTTGGGTTGGTGATAAGGTACAAACAATGAAAGTCGATAAGAATCCTTTCTCAAGAAAGGCTAGATGTTTGAATCATTTTTCTATTCACCTCAATTGAGTCTTATAACAACCCATAAATAATATGAAGAATGTGAATTGGAAGCTTGCAATCTTATTGAAGGCTTTTAAGTGAAGTCCTATGACAACTCTCTGAGTCTAACTTCACTTTTAGATATTTTGCATGATGTCAAAACTTGCAAAACTAATATTTCAATATGATGGACAAATCTTGATATCTTGTGGCACTCCCTTGCATTATAGGTCTTAGGAATCATCAAAAAGTACTTTGAAATTGACCCCACACATTGAAAAACAGTTTCTGTACGTTTTTGTATTGTATGTGTCAACATATTCGATTTTCAGATCGATATATGTAACTCAATTTTTAAGTCTGTAAATTTCTGTAAGTCACAGGACTTATAATTGAAACTCAACAGGTACCCAATTATTCGCGGAAATTTCTCACAAAAATTCTCTAGCCTCTTAATTAACATAATCATAATTATAGAAAACTTTCCTACGGTACATATTTGTCTTTAGCACGGTTTTCTTACAACTTCTGATTTAAAATAAAAATCACTATTATTAAAATAAAATTTTTGATAAATTTATGTATCATAAATATTATTATTATTCTAAAACATGAGCATAAAATAAAAGAGTTTAAAGGAGATGCACGTAAAAATATTTTACATTGTAAACATAACATTCTGCTGTATCATATGAGTTTTTAAAAAATTATAGTATAATTCGGCCAAATTCATGATCATGATTAGTTGACAGTATAAAACTTTTTTAGACTGTCAATACATCACCCGTTTTCTTAAAATAAAAACAAATATCACACAACAACATATAATAAAATCTACACATGCGAAGCACAATAAAAATATCACCATAAACGCAAGATATATCTTCAAACGTGTTGTAGAAATTTTCAATCTTCAAACACTATCTCGATGCTTTTGATTTTGATGAGTCCTTTCCCACAATCTGGAACCAATGTAACCACAATAGTATCATCATCTTCAACATCCAAATCTTCCAGCAAATCAGTTAATCCAAGTTTTAAACAAGTTTTAATGTTGTTATTGTCTTTGTTTTTGTGCTTATGAGAATGAGGGACATTCACAAAGCTTCCAGCAAACTCAGTATTCCCTGGCCCAATCACCTTATCTTCATCATTAATTAAAACATCAAACTTAATGGCTATATTGTTTTCAAACTCAATCCCATCAATCAATAAAATCTCTTCCTCTTTTTCCTTCTCCTCCTTACTTCTTGATTTCTGTGGCCTCTTCACAATAGCACTCATAACATCATCCAAAACCAATGGAAACTTAACATATTCTCTTGAACTCTGTTGTCTAACTTGAAAGTTAGTCGATGATTCGCCTAAGTTTTCATCATTAATCTCAAGTGTAACCTCCACCTTTTTTTGTACTTTTTTTCTTCCTGGCGCAGGTTTAGCTTTTAGCCATGGAATGGGAACATCTTGATAAACATAACCTAGTTTTTTTGTGTCAAGACAATCCTTCACATTAACCCTAACAAGATTCTTATTCTCATCATAGAAAAGAAACCCTGATTCTAACCAATCTTTGTCTTTGAAATCCTTTCTTTTCCCACCAATTTTTTTCCAAATAGACCATAACCTATCAATGTTTGAATGGTGAGAGTAAAAAATAGGATCTCTTGCAGCTGAATAGAAAGTTCCCATGTCTTCATCGTTAGGTTGAGTATTGTCACCGGTCCAAGTATGAACTGTTCCATGTGGAACATTCTCTATTGATCCAGCTCCCCCGGGTTCTACATCTCCAGCACGATAAGGGTTTCCAAGGAAAAGTTTTGAGGTTTTTCCACAGGAAAAAACTTGTCTATACATTATAGTAAGGTTATTGTAGATTAGTTCACGTGCATCAACATCAGTACCATTGTCACCAACACAACCGTAGTTTAAGTCTATGACCGTTGGAGGTTGATGACTCGCATTTCGGAGTTTGTCATAAAGAGGCGATGCAGTGTCGGTGTAAATTGGGGGAAACTCCATGCCACATGGAGCATCATAGTTCCAAAATGGTAACGCAAAGGTTGGATCCTTGATCAAGCTACCTAAGATCCTTTCATAGAAATAGACATACCATCTATGAAAAGGAAAAAAGAGCCAAGAGCCATGAACTTGAAGATCAAGGTCAGGGAAACCAACTTGGGAATATGCACCATCACAATAAGCACAATGGATATTTGCTTGTTGTGTGAAGTTACGTGGATCACTGGAAGGTAAGGCTTTCATGAGTTGAATGGCTTTTTTGTATTTTGCTAGATACTCATCATTGACTAAATGTGCTGCTTGTCTTACTCTTAAGGGTCCCCTTGAAGGGAATCGGAAATCAGTGATTTTTTGGGAATATGGTGGACAACAATTAAGATTGGGAGGGGTTGCACCTAGGGGTAGATCAGGTGGAGCACATTTGGATAAGTCTGGTGGAGATATTGGAGAAGCTAGGGAAGAAGGGTTTATGGCCAAAGTACTATATATCCCTCCAAGGCCAATTAGGACATTTCTCCTATGTCCTCCAATATTATTTAGTAGTTCTTGTTCTTCTTTAGGGTTGTTCTGGTTACTATTATTACCACTGCATGTGATCAGTTGGCGTTTTGGTTTACCGTGTTTAGAAGATTGGTTGTGTTTTTGTGAAAATGGATACAAGGAGGAATATGAAATCTTTGAGTTGGAAGAGACATTGATAGTGGAAATTAAGGAAAGAGGTGATAAAGATATCATGGTTTAGCAAGCTATGTTGTTTTTTGTCATGAATATTTAAGATTTTCCTAGTCATTTTATAATGAACTAATGAAAATAATTCTTACACTTTGTACGTGAATTTAGGAGGTGGCCCCTAAAAGAAATTATTAACATGGAGAAAACACAACGTTTTGTTTTGTAACATGTACGTTCAATTATTATACTTTGAGTTAGGCAACATGTCAGTTATGTCTACGTTCAATTATTATACTTTGAGTTAGGTGTGTCTGTGCTGCGGTTTGAGTAGTTTTAACGTAAAAAATTATCTAAATCGTAAGAGAAAAAAATGTGTGATTTGATTTAGTTTGATTGACTTTTAAAAATAAAACTGAACCAAACCAAATCAAATCAATGCGGTTTAGATTGACTCAATTTGTTCGGTTTTTTTATAAAAAATTATTGAGCCATATATACGGATATAGATGACAATATAATTTTATACTTAGTCATTTATGCGTTATCAAATAACAACAAAATTCATCATATATGGATATCAACTTTCCCTTTTAATATACAAAAATAAGATTAGATAAAAGTGGAATAAAAAACATAACATAGTAGCATGCAACAATATGAAAAACATTATAATGAAATAGAAAAAAATAGGAGATGAAAGATTAGAGAGGATGAAAAAGAAAGAGCAAAATAGAGGTGGGATTAGAAAATAAGAGGAGAATTAATCATGTAATTGTAAGAGTGAACAATAGAATAAAAATAATAAGATGAAAAGGAAATAACTTAAGAGATGAGAGACTAGATAAGAAGAGGCGATATGTACTTGGAAAAGAATATGAGAAGAATGCGCGATACCGCTAGAAGAGATTTAATAAGACTTAAATTGAAACCTTACGTACGAGGAAGGGAAAATCGTTCGTAATCGTAAGGTTAAGGCATAATATATTTGGGTTTGGGTTGGATGTGGTTTAAGTGAATTTTGAGTTGTAACATAATGCGGTTTAGTTCAGTTTGTAAATTACAATCGAAAACCGAACTGAACTGTGCGGTTTTATTAAAAATTACTCAAACATATCCGAACCAAATGCGATTTTTTGCAGTTTCGATGTGGTTTGATTCAATTTTGCGATTTTTTATTGGGTCGGTTTAGTTTTGAACACCCCTACTTTGAGTTTGAATATATAGTCTCAAAGTTTAAAGATCCTTTTGTGACAATATTTTCAAATATATAAATTCAAAATTGTTGATATTTTCTAGCAATATGATGTGTTTTATTTTGAGATCTCATCATTGTTAAAACATGAGCAAAAAATATTCGAGCTGACCATCGAATCAATTTTGAAGTAGTTATAGATTCTTCTGATGTAGATTACATAAATGTACATGTTACATCTACACATTTGGTTTAGTGAAGCATATCCTAACTTATTTTATCAATATAAATTTGAATGTTTATTATGTTTGAATACTTCATCAGTGGATGATTCTGCTTATACCATAAAGTATCTTACCAAAATAATTTTTTATATGTATTGTAATAAAAGCTAATGCTATCAAAATTGTATTCTCTGAACATGTTAGCTCTTCTGATTTAACCTTCTCCTCCACCAAACTGCATGATTAACAAATTATATGCTTTTCTGTTTGGCAGTCTAAACTAATTGCTGACCCCCTCTTAGATGAAAGCTTTCATGTATGGTAACTAAGATGACATTAAAACTTCAAAAAGAAAAATTAGGATTGGGGGAACATTGACAAATTGAATAAGTTTGTGTGCGTCAAACATTGGTAGGGATACTCATTGCTGTTATAATTGCATGAAGTTGTTGGAAATCTACCAAAACCTATAATGAATATTTATCAATCTTGATGAACAAGATTGATATCACCATACAATGACAGTGAATTATATGAAATGAAAAGAAAGAAAGAAGACAATTATTTTCTGCAGAGTTTCTCTTTGTCTACAAATTGTAGAAAACTTTATTATTCACTTGCAATTGCAAATTTTGTGAATATGACTTGATTGACTTGATTTTGACTTAACTACAAAAATAGGGGTTATTCCCTCGATTTATAGATTTAGGTTAGCTTGCTCTCTAAGTCAAATGCCCAAAACTATAAAAGCCAAAAACACTTGTTTTGGAACTAAATCAAATATATTCTATGTTAGATCTAAATTAAATCTATCTAAATTTAAAACAAATATGTGTGCAGTATCTTCGACACACTATGTTTTAACACTTCCTTGTCTCTGTCGAGCAAACTGCTTCGACACAAGGAATTACTATCAACACACCACCTAATTCATTATGTCTAAGCTATCTACATTCATCATAGCTCTTAATCTTCGAAATACTTCGACATGCACACCCTTCGTTATGTTGTCTGCAATCTGATTCTCAGTTCTGTAGTGTTCCAAGTTCATCTTCCCATCTGCTACCTGCTCTCAAAGATAGTGGAACCTCATTTCGTTGTGCTTGCTTTGACCATGATTTATCGAGTTTTTTGCCATATTGATAGCGAACACGCTGTCGATCTTCATGGTAATTTCTCCATGATCTTTCCCTGTGATTTCTTAGACCAAGTTCACCATCCATGTTTATTGACATGCACAAAGAGAAGCAACTATGTACTCTACTTCGCACGATGATAATGCCACTACTAGTTCCTTTCTTAAACTCCAGGCAACTGGTGCACCACCTAGCATAAACACATATCCTATTGTGTATTTTTTATTCTCAACATCACTACACCAACTCGAATCAGTGTACCCTACTAAGTTGCATTCTTTTCCTTTATCAGCTGCAGGAAATAAAATGTCATAGTCGAGAGTTCCTTTTAGATACCTCAATATCCTTTTCCCCACTGCTAGGTGTGATACCTTTGGCTTATGTATAAATCTACTTACCATACCTACATTGTATGCTAAGTCAGGCCTTGTATGACAAAGTTATCTTAATGGCTCAATAAGTCTTCTGTACTGGGTTGGGTCGACATCATCTTCTTCTGAATCTCTCGACAGTTGCAGTCTTGGTTATGCAGATGTTGAAGTCGAGTTACATTCTTCCATCTCAAATATCTTGATAATTTCTTCTGCGTATCTTCTTTGATGCATTATCAAACCTCTACTACTCTTGTAGAATTTGATGCCAAGGAAGTATGAAATGTCACCCAGATCAGACATTTCAAGTTCCTTGCTGAGATCACCTTTGAAGTCTTCGATCTCCTTCATGCAGCTACCTGTTATTAACAAATCATCGACATAGAGACATAGTATAAGAAATTTACTATTACTTCTTCTTACATATACTCCATGTTCAGTTGTGCACTTCACAAAATCCTTCTCCTTTAGAAAACTATCAATCTTCTTATTCCAAACTCTTCGAGCTTGTTTCAATCCATACAGGGCTTTATGTAGTCAGTACACCTTTCTCTCTTCGTCATGTTTCACAAGCCCAACTGGTTGTTTAACATAAACTTCTTCGTCTAAGGGTCCATTCAGAAATGCACACTTCGTGTCCATTTGACATATGTGCCAATTTTTTATTTATGCAAGACCAACAACCAACCTAATTATTTTGGTTCTAGCAACAGGTGCAAAAACTTCATCGAAGTCTATTCCTTATATCTGGAGAAACCCTTTCTCTACAAGCCTTGCTTTGTGTCGAGTTAATTCCCCTTTGGGATTCTTCTTCACTTTGTATACCCACTTGACATCAATTACCTTCTTGCCTTGAGGCAATTCGACAAGTGACCAAGTGTTGTTATCTTCGATGGATTTCACCTCTTCGTTCATTGCTTTCACCCACTTTGAATCTTTCAATGCTTCAGTTGCATTGACATGTTCGACACCTGCATAGAAAGCATAATGCACCAGCTCACCTTCATTATCAACCATATCATTTGATGTAATCATACATTCTTGCAACCTTGCAGGCATGTGGCGTGTTCTTTAAGGTATGCTTGTACTAGGTTGATCTATAACTACTGGTTCCTCTTGTCGAAGTTCTCTTTCAACTTGAGTTTCTAGTTCTTCAAGTAGGATTCCCACTGAGTCTTTCTTGACATTTTGAGTCCAATCCCATTATTTAAGCTCATTTATGATCAATTCTATGTTGATCACAATCTGCTTGTTCACTGGGTCAAACAACTTGTAACCTCATGTCGAATGATATCCTACTAGGATCATCTAACTCGACTTCTCATCAAGTTTTCTTCTCAACTAATCTGGCACATGTTTATCTGAAACAGATCCAAATATCTTCAAATTACTCAAGCTAGGCTTCGCACCAGACCAACATTCTTCTGGAGTAATTCCTTCTAGATTCTTCGTTGGATATCTGTTTAAAATATATGTTGCAGTCGACACAACTTCACCCCAAAATTCTTTAGGTAAATGCTTTCCTTTCAACATACTTCTCACCATATTCATGATGGTTTAATTCTTCCTTTCTGCAGTTCCATTCTGATGTGGAGTGTAGGGTGGCACCACCTCAAACACAATCCCTTATTTTTTCACATAACTTGTCGAAGTCTTTCGAGACATATTCTCCACCACCATCAGTTCTCAAAATTATGAGCTTTCAACCACTTTGTCTTTCGACCATAGACTTAAACTTGGCAAAAACCTCGGTCACTTTAATTTTCTTCTTTATCATGTAAGTCCATAGTTTTCGACTAAAATCATCTATGAACGTGAAAAAGTGTTTACCTCCAAATGAATCCATCTGGGTTGGTCCATATACATCAGAGTATATGACTTCGAGGATAGCCTTCGACTTGTTTCTTGCATCCTTGCTGAAGATATTCTTGTGTTGCTTCGCCTATACACATTCCTCACACACCTCATTTGGAATGTCAATTTCTGGAAACCTTGAAACAATATTTCTTCTCTTTAAATCTCTGATGTCTCTGAAGTTGAGATGGCCTAGTCGATGATGCCATATCCATTCATCTCTTCTAGTTGCAGTCAAAAGACACTTGTGCTCCATCACATTAAGTTCAACCTTGAAGGTTCTATT